ATAGGAGAGGGGGAGGCAGAGTTTTGCTTTGTTGTTTTTTCTTCAGCACTAAATTAGGCTGCATTGGTTCTGCCTGTGGGTTGCACTGCAAGTAAATACTTCCTGGTGGCATTACCAAGCTGACCTGTTTTGTGTGATGTCAAGAAAAACATCATTAATGCTACCACTGGGAAGTAGTAACACTGGCGGTGAGTTCCTGCATAGATGGCTCCCTGTGGACTGACTTTACTTTGAGCTATATTCTAAGACACCAGAGGTAATAGAAAGCTAAATGTAGACCATCCCTCTTTGAACTTACATGCTTTGGTGTTTGCAACTGGATGCTGATCAAAAGTAGGAATGAAGATTATTCCCCTCTCCCACAATTGCCACATGTTCTCTGGGGATGTGCAAAAGGGGTCCATAAAGAAAAAGCACTCTAATTGAAAATACTGAAATTGCATAATTTTGATAATATATTATATCACATATATATCATATCACAGAATGGTTGAGGCTGAAAGGGACCTCTGGACGTCATCTGGTCCAACCCCCTGCTCAAGCAAGGCCACCTAGAGCTGGTTACCCAGGACCGTGTCCAGACAGCTTTTGAATATCTCCGAGGACAGAGACTCCACAACCTCTGTGGGCAACCTGTGCCAGTGCTCGGTCACCCTCACAGTGAAAAAGTGTTTCCTGATGTTCAGACGGAACCTCCTGTGTTTCAGTTTGTGCCCATTGCCTCTGGTCCTGTCACTGGGCACCACTGAAAAGAGCCTGGCTGCGTCTTCTTTGTATCCTCCCTTCAAGTATTTATACACAAGGATAAGATCCCCCTGAGCCTGCTCTTCTCCAGGCTGAACAGTTCCAGCAATCTCAGCCTCTTCTTATAGGAGAGATGCTCCCATCCCTTCATCTTCATGATGCTTGTGGGACTCTCTCTCCAGTACATCCATGTCTCTCTTGTACTGAGGAGCTCCGAACTGGACACAGGACTCCAGTGTGGCCTCACCAGTGCTGAAGAGAGGGAAAGGATCACCTCCCTCGACCTGCTGGCAATACTTTGGCTAATGTAGTACAGGATCCCACTTGCCTTCTTTGCTGCAAGGGCACATTGCTGGCTCGTGGTCAAGGTGGTGTCCACCAGGACTCCCTGGTCCTTTTCTGGCAAGCTGCTTTCCAGCTGAGGGGCTCTCAGCATATAGTGGTGCATGGGGTTGTTCCTCCCCAGGTGCAGGACCT